CCAGTGACTGGCTACCATCATGAGGACGAAGGGTACGAATTTTTTCCTTGTTCCTTCGTTTTTCGTACCGCAAAACATCGGAACACAAAGTGACTCTAGCTGTTAGGATGCGTCCGTACCGAACGACGCGTCGCAGGTATCAACATCGGTCACTACACGATCCGGGCAGAGGGCAGGTGAGCTTGCCAACCAGGGCATAGGACCAGGCGATCAGGAAAGCGGGTGTGCAAACGGTAAAGTGCCACTACAAGACTGGGTGGGCTCGAACCCTAACCTCATTCTTGCGGATGAACCGATTGAAGTAGTAGACAAATTTATTTACCCGGGCAGCTGTATCAGTCCCGGTGGTCTCGCGAAAGATGATTGGGAAGGCCAGAGCAGCTTTTGTGAACTTACATCATCCGTGGCGTAGGCGTGACATCAACTTCTCTGTCAAGGGTTAAGTTTACAATGCTGCGGTGCACTTCATATTACTATATAGATCAGAAACCTAGCCGCTGTGCGCCGAGGACGTCAAAAGACTTTCATTGTTTAACCATTGATGTCTGCGAAGCATTATCCGAATCTGGTGGGAACACCGGATCAGCAATTCCGAAGTACGTCGAATGGTATTCGGGAAAAATAACTCACCCTCGATAGATGAACGGATCACGCTGCACAGGTTGCGCTGGCTTGGCCACGTGTTGCGTATGCCAGTCGACCGACTTCCCCGAAGGGCTCCTTTCGCACAACCACGTGAAGGGTGGAAGAGAGCCAGAGGCGGTCAAACAATGACTTGGCAGCGAAAAGTGAAAGCTATTACCAGCAAACTCAGCTGCGCTGGTCACTTCCGTCTTCCTGGATGGGGGCCCCGAGACGGGCCACATCAATGGCTAGAGGCATTGTCAGAGCGCCCTCAATGGCGCTCATACATCCAAGCTATTGTCTTCAATGCACAGCTCCTTCCTCAATCCCCTCACTTGGCATTCCACTAACAGTGCTGTATTTACGCACCAATTTATCAGCTCCCGCCTCCAATACGCAGCTACCTAACCCCCTCCCAAATCATCGGTGAACGAAACTGTGGCAGCTACAACCACTGTACGACGAATACGCGGTTATTAAAGCTGGCAAGACGGGAACGTCGCGGTTGGCCGCACAAGAACGAACAACCAAGTGACCGTATTTGGCAAATCAGCCACCCCATATATTTACACATTAGCTCTATATGTTTGACTGACACTAAAACTGCGGACTTGGTTTTATGTCTTCTGCCTATCACGTGGTCCGACAGACCCATGTCAGGCTTCACCGAGAGGCGTTCGCACGTTACAAAGCAAGCATGAGATGATTCCTATTAGAAGGTGTCTTAGTGAATCAATCATTGCAAAACCAGGTTCCTCTCACCGCGGCCCCCATGAGCAGCGGGTTGCTTTTCGGTCTTTAGGTGCAAGTTTACATCGTTTGGTTCAATGTCTTACACCGAGTTTGCAGTCGACACTGATTTAACTACTGTTTCTCTGCAGCAATACAATACACCAGTTACAAACACCAATTTATTCATTCAAAAGTAACCGTACAATTATGAATTATATACAGTATGTCTACGTATTATGCATATCTGTGCAGAAACAGGGGAAAGGTAACCAACATCAGATTGCGTTGTGACTTAAAGCAGCAATCTATCCTCCTCGATCTTCCTAACATCCGCGTACTCACCACCCGCCTTTTGGCGGGCCTGATCCTCTTCCCGGGCAATTATTTTCGCGTCCAACAGGTGAACTAGGTCACGCCATAGATTCACCTGGCGGAGTCCGCTAGCCTGTGCTTTAACGGGAGGCCCAACGGTACTAGAAATGCATGTATAGCTAGAACTAGCCGACCGTATGTGTGTACGAATTATGTGTGGTACGAGCAACCAGATGTCTGTCTGCATGCATTGTGGGGCTCCACTGTCCATTTGTACCCACTGGAGATGACAGTTATGACCACCCGCTGATGGCCTTAGAAATGTTCCGTCCCGCCTCTCTTGGTCTCCTTTCCCCGGGCTTACACCGGATATAGGACTCGAATATTTGCTCCTTTGGGTTTAAACTTATCACAAAGGCGAATGGCAAGCAGACAGATAAAGGACCCATAGTCCTCATGGTGTGTAAAATCATATTATGAGGCAGTCTGGAGGTATATTCAAACACTCCAAAGGATTGTCTCCTACAGGCGACCCATGAGGTGGGAAGGGTTACAATGTGTAGGCCTCAAACTCCGATTACCCCACGGTTTAGTAACCAGTAGACGTGATTGCTGTTGGACTATCATATATATTTAGATCGGTCAAAAAGGGACGTCCTTCGAACGTCCAACGGTACTGTGTACAGGAGCTGTCTGCCCCAAACCACATGGATAGTCCTCAATACTACCATCGGGTTGAAATGTGGCCGAGCGGATTAAAGGGATGGAAGTCGGCCCTAAGATCCGCTCGATGGGCAATATGTCCCCACTTTTGGAAAAGCTTACGCCTGGACTGCTTTACTGCTTCAGTGCGAACGCCTTTGCTGGGTATTTCAACATGTTGTTTCCATCTGGGGGTTGTCCACCGCATATGCATCGTGTACGGGTTACTCTAGTACCGAAGGTCCCCAATCCAACATCACTGGACTAACTGTTTTTTTACGAATGGCACTTTCCACGTCACTGTCCCTACTGGAACCACAGCGGCAGCAATTTCGATCGAAAAGTCAACAGATAAAATGTTGCAGAGGCGAATTCAGGAACTTCTGAAAACATCGGCCTGACAAAATAACGCACTTAGGGGCCGTACCGCTACCTTGAGAATGAAATTGCCCGGTCGATAAAGCTTCGTCACTGTATGCCCATGGTGTATCGGTTACCATCCTGATTAGTACGGGTTCTGGCCACATTCTAATTTTAAAACGAAACTTGTACTTGATTGGAAGGCTACCAGGGTAGGACACAAAGTGCACATTACGTAATGTGTCTGGAGGTTGCCTCGAACTAATCGATAAGATGAACTGTCCCGTGACGTTCAATAGGGTTCAATTCAGAAATGCTTGCTACCTCACATACTACACAGACCTTGATCGCTCAGGCTCGGATAGGACTGATGGAATACAACTCTTGGAGCAGTCCCTCAATGCCGTTTATAACGAAGCAACTGTAGATGGCTGCGAAAATTTTACGGTAACACCACATTCTGCAGATTTTGCGGTCGCCACGGCTACAGTCTAATCGGAGACCAGTCGAGGCATACGTGGCGTTCAAAAACGATGCCACTCTCACTTCAATCCGTTTTGACGAATTTTGATGACAGGATTCAGCTTTGTACCCTCGGACTCCACCCTTCACTCCCTAGACCCGTGAAGACGCAGATCGTTCCACTCCTTTCCAAAAGGCAAAAGGTGAAAGATTCAGATTGGAGATGCAACACCGTCTGTTACTGCTTTCTCCCCTTTCGACTGAAAAGTGTATTTCGGCACCAGTGACTGGCTACCATCATGAGGACGAAGGGTACGAATTTTTTCCTTGTTCCTTCGTTTTTCGTACCGCAAAACATCGGAACACAAAGTGACTCTAGCTGTTAGGATGCGTCCGTACCGAACGACGCGTCGCAGGTATCAACATCGGTCACTACACGATCCGGGCAGAGGGCAGGTGAGCTTGCCAACCAGGGCATAGGACCAGGCGATCAGGAAAGCGGGTGTGCAAACGGTAAAGTGCCACTACAAGACTGGGTGGGCTCGAACCCTAACCTCATTCTTGCGGATGAACCGATTGAAGTAGTAGACAAATTTATTTACCTGGGCAGCTGTATCAGTCCCGGTGGTCTCGCGAAAGATGATTGGGAAGGCCAGAGCAGCTTTTGTGAACTTACATCATCCGTGGCGTAGGCGTGACATCAACTTCTCTGTCAAGGGTTAAGTTTACAATGCTACGGTGCACTTCATATTACTATATAGATCAGAAACCTAGCCGCTGTGCGCCGAGGACGTCAAAAGACTTTCATTGTTTAACCATTGATGTCTGCGAAGCATTATCCGAATCTGGTGGGAACACCGGATCAGCAATTCCGAAGTACGTCGAATGGTATTCGGGAAAAATAACTCACCCTCGATAGATGAACGGATCACGCTGCACAGGTTGCGCTGGCTTGGCCACGTGTTGCGTATGCCAGTCGACCGACTTCCCCGAAGGGCTCCTTTCGCACAACCACGTGAAGGGTGGAAGAGAGCCAGAGGCGGTCAAACAATGACTTGGCAGCGAAAAGTGAAAGCTATTACCAGCAAACTCAGCTGCGCTGGTCACTTCCGTCTTCCTGGATGGGGGCCCCGAGACGGGCCACATCAATGGCTAGAGGCATTGTCAGAGCGCCCTCAATGGCGCTCATACATCCAAGCTATTGTCTTCAATGCACAGCTCCTTCCTCAATCCCCTCACTTGGCATTCCACTGACAGTGCTGTATTTACGCACCAATTTATCAGCTCCCGCCTCCAATACGCAGCTACCTAACCCCCTCCCAAATCATCGGTGAACGAAACTGTGGCAGCTACAACCACTGTACGACGAATACGCGGTTATTAAAGCTGGCAAGACGGGAACGTCGCGGTTGGCCGCACAAGAACGAACAACCAAGTGACCGTATTTGGCAAATCAGCCACCCCATATATTTACACATTAGCTCTATATGTTTGACTGACACTAAAACTGCGGACTTGGTTTTATGTCTTCTGCCTATCACGTGGTCCGACAGACCCATGTCAGGCTTCACCGAGAGGCGTTCGCACGTTACAAAGCAAGCATGAGATGATTCCTATTAGAAGGTGTCTTAGTGAATCAATCATTGCAAAACCAGGTTCCTCTCACCGCGGCCCCCATGAGCAGCGGGTTGCTTTTCGGTCTTTAGGTGCAAGTTTACATCGTTTGGTTCAATGTCTTACACCGAGTTTGCAGTCGACACTGATTTAACTACTGTTTCTCTGCAGCAATACAATACACCAGTTACAAACACCAATTTATTCATTCAAAAGTAACCGTACAATTATGAATTATATACAGTATGTCTACGTATTATGCATATCTGTGCAGAAACAGGGGAAAGGTAACCAACATCAGATTGCGTTGTGACTTAAAGCAGCAATCTATCCTCCTCGATCTTCCTAACATCCGCGTACTCACCACCCGCCTTTTGGCGGGCCTGATCCTCTTCCCGGGCAATTATTTTCGCGTCCAACAGGTGAACTAGGTCACGCCATAGATTCACCTGGCGGAGTCCGCTAGCCTGATTTTCCATCAGTTGTTTTTGCTCCTCCTTGAGTGTTCGTGTCAACGCTTCCTGTTCGCTGATTTTGCGCGTATAAATTTCTCTGTATAGAAGAGGGGATAGTTTGGATTTTAAATTCATGAGCACATTTATGAGATAGAACAACCTCTCTCACGATGTACCTCCACATCAAGTTCTTGATAGACTCATTTGCTAGAAGCATAGGTTCAATGAGATCTGTGTTTCACAGCTTAAGTTTTAGCGGCTTGACATCTTATGAATTAAGTAAACAAATAATCAAGCGGTTGATAATGATGAAGCATCATTAGGAAACAAATCTCCGACTGATCGATCAAACCAAGCGACCTCGTACGCCTAAAGATTCGAATATCAAAGCTTCTTCTAGTGAGCTGCTTCATTCAAAATAGACATTAAAAAGTAGCCTGAAATTTACTTGCTCCATAATTATCCTTTCTTGAAGATGGAACATTCCGCTCAGCTGAAATGCCGATGAACAGTGGTCCAGCCATTGGGCCTGCCGGCATTTCTGAAAAGCGCGGCACTGTACGCAATCCATTGGCGCTGTCGTGAACACGACAGAGAGTCGGTGGTAGAGAACGCGTGGTCCTGTCATGAGGGCACTAGTTGCCACTTCACCATTGGGACAGTAGTGTCATAAGTCCATCCCTTTCATTCAGTCGTAGCACCCTTCTGGTGCCTAGCTGCCATGCCATCCGAAGAAAGCACGAGGGCTGGGATACTGCCAAGTTGCCCAAGCCTAGACAGGGTAAGTCGAGAGGCAGAGGTCATAAACTGTCGGTCAGTAAATTCCCCCTCTAACCACTTGGGTCATCTCGCCCCCTCTATCCCCTTCAGTCCCAGTTGAACACCGTACATCACCTGTTGACGTACCACACAAAAACTTTTCGACGGCGGCCCACTAACACGCCGTCGCGTTGGTTACAGATGACCTGATACCATCACTTTCAACATATGGTGATGATGTCGTCCTTACGAACGTGGAATGTGGAACATACTCATATCGGGCAGTATTGCCAACGCTGGGCTCATGGAATGATGTGTATGGTACTGACACGAACGATGTACAAACGGAGGAATTTCAGGCTTCTCCGAATGCGAGCCCCATTTTTCCCAGTTGATCGTAGGTAAGTGGGTCTTGGAACCGGGTTTATGTCGTTCGACCCGATTTCAATTCAGTAGCTTGCGTGAGATCTGCAGATGCTAGATAGTATGAAACCAAAAGACAACAGTAAGCTGAATAACTAGTGTTTTGGTTTGAGCCTACAGTTCAGGTTGATAAAAAAATGTACTTAATTTTGTTCGTTTCTGCTTGATCAATAGTGAGAGGCCACTGAAACAAAAACCTCTTTCAGTTGCTGTACTTCCGAACCCGAATGGGAATGTATGGCGAAATCATCAGTATTAGCAGTATACGGCCATCGGACACGCAGATGTTCATTGGTCAAGTGACATTTCAAATACCATAAGCAAACATCCAAACGCTATTGAATTGGTCTACCACTGTGCAGTGTCCGTGCGCGGGCTACTGTTTTAATGGAGAATAAATTGCAAGGGAGCAATCGTTCTTCACCCCAGTATCGATTTCGACCTCTTTAGAGGTGGTTTTGCAGGCTGGGCCTGAGCCCTTACCCCAGTCCGAAGGGCTTCGGTTAGACAAAATTGCCCTAGCAGCCAAGGTTTTGTAGCACGATACACAGTGTTTCACTGTTGACCATGTTGATGGCTTTAGTAAAACCGACGAAAGTTCTATAGGACGGCTGGTCTCCCTTGCGACATTCCCCTTCTTCGACCGGATCGAAATCTACACTGTTGTACAGAGAAGTTCCCTTGCTTAGTGACAGCGGCTAGTCGGTTGAACATTATATGACCCGCTGAACGACTGGACTACGCGCACTTTATGGCCGAACTATTCTAACCCGTCCTTCCAGCGAGGATGCAAGAGTTGGTGACTTCACGAAATTGAGGGTACGATTCGTCCATAAAAACAGCCAACTGTGCCATCATGACTCGAATTATGCATGCGTATACTTTATATATATATATATATATATA